TATTGTTACAAGCGTAGTGTGCATGAAGTCAGTGTAGCTTAGCCTAGCACCGAATGTCAGCCATGACGAGGAACGGCGGGCGGCACTTCCTTCAGAGGTCCGCTCACCCTGTGGGCCCCACTAATATTATACTTTCATATCACGGTGGGGGCCACGAGAATGAGACCTCTGGTCTAATCAAATAGTCTCACTAAGTAGGACGCTTGATCTGTTATTACACCAAGCTGAGCCGCAGCAGAACGTACCAATCCTGCACACATTGTTTGAAAAAATTTGGATTTTTCTAAAAACAAGTTAATTTTCATGCCAAAGTAAAAGAAACTTCATAAAATTTGCATGACTGAAGCGGCTAGAAGAAGATTCGAAGGTTTTGCAATGGGACAGAGTCTGAGTTTGGCTGTAATTTATTATGCAAAACTAGATTTAGTTTTACATTCCAGAAGGAAGCATTGGGATGTTTTCTATCGTTCCCATTCCAGCATTGTTGGTTACTGTCTTATCATTCAGCTCTTGAGTGAAGGTGTGTGTGAAACATTAAAATGGGTCGAAATGTCGCTCGAGGAAAAGGAATATCTGGGTTTCTTCATGAGGCGCTTAATGAAGCACTGTAGGTCAGCAGGTTAACAGTCACAGAGGAAGCAAACCGAGATAAATACCGTTAATTTTACTTAATAGACTCAGAAAGACTTCATAAGAGTTTCCTCTCCTTTCTACTCGTCTCTTTTTCCAGAGGCCATCAACTGTCTAAACCAGGCCATTGACATCTACACTGACATGGTAAACACTGATTAAGCCATTACATTCCTCTGTGTGGGACTCTGACCTTTGAATACAACATAATATGTGTGTGTTTGCGTTGTAACAGGGCCGGTTTACCATCGCAGCCAAACATCATATCACCATAGCAGAGATTTATGAGTCTGAGCTGGTGGATATTGAAAAGGTAAAATAATATTTTTTTTCTTCCTGATATAAACCTGACGTGACATTTGTATTAAGCAAACTAACTAAATGTGTCTGTGTTTGTTCAGGCGATTGCTCACTATGAGCAGGCAGCAGATTATTACAAGGGAGAGGAGTCAAACAGGTAAACATGTTAATAATAAATGTCATATGTACAGAACACACATGGCAAACGCACACACACACACACACACACACACACAGTGCCATGGATTAGCATCTAGATATCTTGTATGTTTTTTGGTTGATCCTGAGATTTTGCAATGGTTTCATCAACAGAGTCATTCATTCAGGTAATGTCCAGTTCAAAAGATGAGGAACTGAGTATATTCAGTGTTTCTCTAGTCTGGTCGTTGCCATCCATGTGCTATTCAGCTCGATTCAAATCTCTCTTCAGAGCACAGCCTGGGCTTTCTCCCATTGAAGTGAATGTCTCTGGTAGAATTTCATCCTGGCCAATCAGCGAATAGAAGGAGAAGTTGTGAATAATGACATTGATTTGCCACACTGTTTTAGAATTGTAGCCTGCCTGTAGTCTTAGCAATGATTTTGGAAGAAGTAAATTAAGACGTTCAATCTGTGTTGGTCACGCCTCCAAATATTGAATCAACATAAACAACCACATCGTTCAAATCTCTTTGCAGTGGAGGACGGTTGTTTACAGCCATCCACACATTTTTCAGTAAGCTTCATAGTGTTGAACTGGCACTTTACATATGTCATGGCGAAATGCTAGAGATTGGATAAAATTTAATGTAATTGAGAGAAATGGCCAAAGGATGGCAGTGTTGGGTGAAAAATCTATCATGAGCATGGAGAACAAGAGAAAATGTTTAAATAGGGAGACTGGAATGGACCCTGAGCCACCTCATCTGGTACCTCTCCATGGCCAGAACCAGTTGCTCTACTCTGATGGAACCTCTCATCCTATCTCTAAGGGAAAGCCTAGATTCCCTCAGAGGAAACTCATCTCTGCTTGTATCCACGATCTAGTTCTATCAGTCACTTCCCAAAGATTAGTATGTAGGAACGTAGATTGACTGCCAGCAATGATGTGAGCATTGACTGGCAGTAGATGGCTTAATTTTATGGAGTCTATTGAACAAACTTTTACCTCTGAGGTAGTATTTCATATGAAAACTAGCTCTGAAGCAAACAATAATGAGGTGGTCATTGTTTGTTTCTACAGATGTATCACAGCAGTAGCTCCTGTATAAAGATACAGAGTGATGAAGATTTCAGCATGAAAGGCAAAGTACTGTGTTCCACCAATGAAGCAACAAGTTTTCTTTATGTTTCAGCTCAGCTAACAAATGTCTTCTGAAGGTCGGACACTACAGCGCTCAACTGGAACAGTATCAGAAAGCCATCGAAATCTACGAACAGGTACCCAGCAGGGAGTAATTCTTCATCCACTTTGGGATTGTAGCTATGTTCAGATGTGTTTAGATAAAGACATAAAAAATGGAATATGTGTGTGTGTGTTCGCGCGTGTGTTTTTCAGGTTGCTATGAGCACTATGGATAATCCTCTGCTGAAGTACAATGCCAAAGAGTATTTCTTCAAAGCGTCATTGTGTCACTTCATAGTGGATGAGCTTAATGCTAAGGTAACACACTTCTGTCCATGTTCGGTTGTTACACTGCTTCAGCTTTAAAGTGTTCAGTGCTAGCAGCTAGCTTACCTGAACCTTGTGTTTTCCAGTTGGCCATAGAGAAGTATGAAGAGATGTTTCCAGCTTTCTCAGACTCAAGAGAGCTCAAACTGCTAAAGGTATGTTCCTTTCCTCATAAAAGGAAACATACCTAAACATTTTCAAAGTAAGCAACACGCAAAAGCACTAATCAAAAAATTAACTGCTATTAGCAGATTAACAGATTAGTGGCCACCACTGGGAAAGCTTCTTTTTCCATGGTTGCATCGTACTTCTCTTTGCTGTGAAAGTAACTTTCCAAATTTTGTTTTAACAGAAACTCCTTGAGGCCCACGAGGAACAGAACAGCGAGGCGTTCACGGAGGCCGTGAAGGAGTTTGACTCCGTGTCCCGTCTGGACCAGTGGCTGACCACAATGCTGCTCCGCATCAAAAAGACCATCCAGGGAGACGCTGGAGACTTAAAGTAAAGAAACATCAGAGAAGGGGAGAGAGACGCAGAGAAAAAAAACAGGATGGTGGAGAAAAGTGGCAGAAAAATGAATGAGGTTGAGGGAGGGAGGGAGGGATGGTGGCATTGAGAGTTTACAAATGTACATATCAGTCTGCATGTGACCCCAGTCAAATTAGCACCTCCTTTAAATCACGTTAAAGCACCCTGTGTCCCCCGTCCCACAGTATTGCTCCGTAACACTGGACAGAATTACACTAAAAGAGACAAAGTGGGAAGATAATGTGTGTGTGCAACAGAGAAAATGTGTGTGTGTCCACTCCAGTAGGATCAAATCTACTTTTTGATGAAGTGTGCATATATATATGATACTGAAAAATATAGAAATGTTATTTAAGAAATTGTTCATATTTATTGTCAATACTGAATATATTGTTTGTTATTGTGCTCAGTGTTACAATTTGTCTAAATATTTTAGGTATCAGCCCCTCTGTAATCTCCTCTTATGTTGTCCTTATGGCTTCACGGCACATCTGAGTTAGTAAAATCCCACCCTGTGATTGGTCAACTCTTGTGAGGGTGGAGCAGTTAACAGCTAGTTTCTGTTGCTGCCTTCTTTGTGCATGTCTGCGTTGACGTAAATGTTCTGTGTTGTGCTATCATGTAAAAACCTGTGTGTAACCTGATACATTTATGTGAAATCAGTAAATATGTACCTCAGATATTGAGCTGAAATAAAACATCATCACCCTACATGTCGGTATTTATTCAGCAGACAGATGAAATTGAATGTATTTATTATGTAACAATGCACCTTTAGCTAGCACCTGTTCCCTGAATGTTGTATATTAGGAGTTCTTAAAGACTTGGTACCTGCATTACTAAGGATTTAACATAGTTCCTCATATAACACCTGTATTACAAATATATAGCTACATTTGGGTAGTAAAAAAAACAAACTCTGCACATCAATTTGAACACAAAATCCCCACAATAAAACGTGGTAGAATCATGGTGTGGGGATGTTTTTCTTCTCAGAAGTAAGGATTCTAGACCAGGGCTCACCAACTCCAGTCCTCCAGGGCTACCATCCTGCAACTTTTAGATTCACCTCTGCTCCAAAATGTCTGAATTCCCTCACCAGCATTCATTCCTCTCTTCAATAGGCTGGAAACGAGCAGTTTATTTGATCCAGGTGTGTTTGAGCAGAGACGCATCTAAAAGTTATAGGATGGTAGCCCTCGAGGACTGGAGTTGGTGACCCCTGGTCTAGACAAACATGATTTACATACAGATGGAAATAAATAATTCAGATCAGTTTCGTTTATTTATATAGTACCAATTTACAATAAAGAGACATTTTAAAAGGGAAGACAACAACTATACCCACTTACAAAGAATGATGCAAGTAGACCTTAGTTGTGAGACAGAATCTAAAAAACATCCACAATATTACAGTATTTGGTTTCTTACATTGATTTCTTACAATTAAAGTGCAATATTGCAGGCCAGTCATTTTCCCCAGATATTCAATTGTACATGTACCTATAGCTAATTCAATTTCCTTTTGGGATCAAAGTATTTTTTAATTGAGGCGATTGAAATGATACCACAGAGAGGAGTTGTCCACTTTTTAAAATATGTGAGATTAATTGCATTTGTCGTAACTGCAGACCTTATAAAAACAATTTTGCAATAAAACATTTTTTTTAAATAATTTATTTAAAATATGTATTTAAATAACGTCTTTAATAAATCGACTCAGTATGATGTGTGATGAACCGAAATCGGTTAACCTTTTAAATGAGTGTTTTTATATGTCTAGTAGCTATCTAGTCTGTTAATAAAGTGCGACTTCGATAACTACAATCATAGACATATAAGATTAAAATCACATGGGGACAAATATGGACGGAACACTCGGACTTTTTTCCCCCGAACACCTTCAAGAATTCTGCGACACTTCCGGTGCATGGCGGTTTCTCGTAGCATTCTGCATTTTGTTGGCTGTTAATTTTTATATCACAGGCTTGACGTTCCTCAGCTCAGTACTTGTGAGAAGAGTTGATTATTCCAGTTGTTGAAGGGGAACAAACGAGCGCGTCGTCAAGATGCCGCGAATTATGATAAAAGGAGGCGTTTGGCGCAACACTGAGGTACGTGTTTACATGGTTAGCCTGAAGCTAACTGCTGTTACCCTGAACCAGTGGCTAAAGTTAGCATAAAGCTAAACGTTAATATAACGCTATTCTGCTCAAATAGCAACTTTATTTTATTTGCCTCTATGCATTATAAACAGTTTAGTTACTTGAGAGGCGTAGCTTGTGTGATATTGACCAGGTAACTTTTGTGATCCAGCTTGTTAAAAGCGATAACGTCATTAGCTAAGAGAAATGCAGCCTGCAACACTTAGCGGTGTTTCCTCTCGAGGAAAACTTAATGATATAGACAAATGGCTTCATAGATAAATATAAAAAAACAAACAAAAAAACGTGTGTTTGCGGATATTTTTTAGCATTACTCTTAAAATGTTTTATAATTTGCCATTACCTAAAATATTCAATATTATAGAGTTTGGTGGCTACCTTAAGTTTCACGCAGCATTACATTGAACACCGAAAAACAGTGGATTCATTCAGGCATTGTGAGAGACTGCCTTTCAGTTAATTTCCCATTTATTTATTTTTTTTTTGTAATCTAGCCAATAACAGGAACTTTTTTTGTGTCAAATCCTCAGGGTTGACAGATCTGATTGTTTCCAGCTCAAACACAACGTCAACCAGCTCAAATCTAATTTTTGTGCTTATGTGTTCTGTCTGTATAATAACTCTATACACCATTTGGGGTGTTTACGGTTGACATTGTGGTGACTCTTGATGAAGCAATTACTATTAATTATTTATATTAATTTGGAAAAGCGTAGAAGCTGTCAAGTTATACACGTTCTAAACATTTTAAAATAAATGAACTTTTCTGCCACACAATAACTATTTTCATTGAATTTTCCATTCTAATGTATGAATAGAAATTTCATACGTGGGCAGCCCAAATTTGAACAGCCTATCCAAAGATGTTTTTTCAAGTCCAACCTATTAGAAGCCCAATTGGGTGGAAACGCGTCCAATCTGGCAACGCTCCACATCAAAGCATAGTTTTGCAATCTATAAATTCTCTTTATTATTATTATTATCATTTTACGTGTCACAATTAACTTTATTTGTCGTTATGCTGGAAATGGGAGTTAATTTGACTGATTATTTGTGTTTGTAGGATGAAATCCTCAAGGCAGCGGTGATGAAATATGGGAAGAATCAGTGGTCGCGTATCGCCTCACTGCTCCATCGAAAGTCTGCCAAACAGTGCAAGGCCCGATGGTGAGTCCTGACAGAAGCATTAAGTACTAAAAAATGCACTTTAATCATGTTTTAATCAGTACGGTGTTACCAGCATTCTTCAGTGGAGCTGACTTGTTTAAATCTGAATCGTAAAGCCTGGCTTTGCTTCTTCATGCAGGTACGAGTGGCTGGATCCCAGCATCAAGAAGACAGAATGGTCCAGAGAGGAAGAGGAGAAGCTGCTTCACCTGGCCAAGCTGATGCCCACTCAGTGGAGGACCATCGCTCCCATCATCGGTCGCACCGCTGCCCAGTGTCTGGAGCATTACGAATACCTGCTGTACGACGTTTTGGCTTTTTACGCATTTTTAGGCTGAATTCGAACCACATCAGACTATCTGTGGTTTGGAATATTATATCGATCATGATGAATGTGGGTCATAGGTGTGGTTTTGTGTTTGTTCAGAGACAAAGCCGCCCAGAGGGAGAATGAGGAAGAGGTGGGAGACGATCCCCGGAAGTTAAAACCAGGAGAGATCGATCCGAATCCCGAGACCAAACCTGCCAGGCCCGACCCAGTGGACATGGATGAAGGTGACCGACGCTCAGGGATTGGATCTGCTCTGGTAGCTGGCTCGGCGTGTTAATGTTTGTCTGTGTTTCTGGTTGCAGATGAGCTGGAGATGCTGTCAGAGGCCAGAGCTCGTCTGGCCAACACTCAGGGCAAAAAAGCGAAGAGAAAAGCCAGAGAGAAACAGCTGGAGGAAGCCAGGTTCAAACATCTTTATGTTATCAGTTATTAAATAAACTCACAGCTGAGGGATTTCAGTCTCAGGAGAATTAAAAAAAAAAAAAAAATTCTCTTTGCAGACGATTGGCTGCTCTTCAGAAACGCAGGGAGCTGAGAGCGGCGGGTATCCATGTCCAGAAGAAGAGGAAGAAGAAGAGAGGAGTGGACTACAACGCAGAGATCCCCTTTGAGAAAAAACCTGCAGCGGTATTTAATCATGGATTAGCAGAACATGTTGATTCATACGTTCACAATGAGGAAGAGGTGGGAGACGATGAGAAAAGCTCATTGGTTTATTTTTGTTTACATAGGGTTTCTATGACACCAGCATGGAGCAATATGATGCTCAGGAACCGAACTTTAAACGACTCAGACAGCAGCACCTGGACGGAGAACTCCGCAGGTCAGTAATGTTCAAATTTGTTCTCACACATCAGTTGAACCGTTGACAGATAAAACAAACCTGTGGTTGTAGTGAACGGGAGGAGAGGGATAGGAAGAAGGATAAACAGAAGATCAAGAAAAAGAAAGAGAGCGATCTGCCGTCTGCCATCCTGCAGACCAGCGGAGTGGCCGAGTTCACAAAGAAACGCTCCAAACTGGTCCTACCTGCACCACAGGTACCTGCTGCCAGAGCAGCGCATCGTCACACAGCACATTACTGGAGATCAGCATGCTGAATGATGTTTTTTATATTCTAAACAAACTGCTTCAGTTGCTTTGTCCGTCTGCACTCTTAGATCAGTGATGCTGAGTTGGAGGAAGTGGTGAAAATGGGCGTGGCCAGTGAGGTGGCCCGTCAGGCGGCCGAGGAAAGTGAAGGCGGGAACTCGGCCTCCTCCACCCTGCTGTCAGAGTACAGCGTCACCAACAACATGAACACAGGACTCCGCACCCCACGGACCCCTGCTGCCCAGGACAGGATACTGCAGGTGAATCATGGATCTTTTACTCCCTGCCAATGTTTGTTTGTGTGCCTCTTGTTGTTGCTATAGAAACAAATCCTTACCTGAAAAGACTGATGGAAAAAAATAAAGCTAAATTAGAGTTCTTATTTCTTTAATTGATCTAAAATATTTGTCTCATTTGTAGTTTGCTTGTTTTGATTCAGTGGAATGTGTGTCATATTTTCAGTGCATAACTGGACTGTTTTGTGTGTTTTCTCTGTCAGGAAGCACAGAACCTGATGGCTCTGACCAACATCGACACGCCCCTGAAGGGAGGCCTCAACACGCCGCTGCACGAGAGCGACTTCAGCGGCGTGACGCCCCAGAGGCAGCAGGTCCAGACGCCCAACACCGTGCTCAGCACACCGTTCAGGTAGAGGCAGCCATCGCACAGCAACTAGTGTTGATGTGGTGTCTGACAGCACACACAGCTGCCTAACGACATTAAGAAAGAGTCAGTCCAAACACAGATGACTTAAGAGCTATTCTGTCTACCAACTTGAACATCTCATCTCTTGAACATTTCCATCCAACTTGAAGTATGGCGTCACATTCCTGCCAAAAACCCAGGGAAGTTTATTAAGCAATCACTCAGAGAGTAAACTTTAACACTTCATACTGGAACTGTAAGATATTTTAAATATCCAAAATAAAAACCAACCCAGAACCATAAATTAAAAATATTAAGAAGAATCTGTGAACAACATTGCCCTTCAAAGAATATTAATCACCAGACTTTTAAAGATCAAGATCATTTTAATTTATTATGCAATTAATTGCTGATTGCAAAAGGCTTATCAGTAACTCTTACGAGTGATTTGATTGGCCAGTTTTTCAGCTCAAATCCAGTGACAGTCAGCACAGAACTCTGTGTCTGATAGACAGGATGAAGGAAAAATCAACACTTTCCTTTTTTCTTACCTTATTATTCTTCATTGTCCTACTATGTCATCTTCTTCTTTTATTTGAATCCACATTTCTTCTTCTTCTCATATTACTACGCTTTACTTCTCCACTGAAGACAAGTTACATAGAATCTTTTTAGGACTTTTTTCCAGCTCTGTGCTAAAGTTCCCAGCAGCTCCTAACTAGGGCTGTATAATCAAATCAATTCTACGATGTGTATTGATATTTTTACCCCACCCCTCAGAAGGTGTCGATTTTTCATCCGCGAGTATCGATCCATTAAAACATGGTGGTCCATAGGCTTACATGTCTTTTTTACATGTCTGATTTGTGACGGCGTAGCAGCAAGACTCCGTCTCCCCCAGTCTCACTTTCAACTTGTGCTTAAAGAGCACATTATGAACTACACACCAGTTTTTAAATTGTGTTAATGGACCAAGTTAAACTGGAGTCATGCTAAAATAAATAAACCATGTTTTTCCAAATGTCAGAGAAATGTTAAAAACCAGCTTTTCCGGTTATGTGAAAGGGAATGAGCTTCCAAACGTAAAAACGCAACATTAGATCCCTTTGTTTTTATAAACCTAAAATCTTCAATAAATAACGATGGGCTGTATTTTGTTGCTAAGAAACAAAGTAAAGTTGCTCAAGTTACGATGAAAGAGAAGCGGAACGGAGTAGCGGCAAAAGCAGTGAGATTACGAAATTAATGCAAAGTTTGGATATTGGAGCGATCGGTGGCATCCACTTCATAATTTGTGTTTAGCTTAGTGGTTTCTGTTCTGTATATAAAGGATTAGCTGAAGAATCAATGTGCAGCAGGCAGCGGCGCTCTGTTTTGAGCTGGAAGACAAAGAGGGGAAACCCGCAGCCGGAGTCTGGGCGCAGTGAGGATTGCCATGACAACGAAGGCAGATCGATCATTCTTATTAACAACTGACAAAGTATCAGAGACTGAGAGAACGATGAGATCCTGGCAGTCTGAGAGGCAGCTACTCAGATATCCAAGCAGGGGAATGGCGGCGCTGCGTAGCTGCAAGGAGTCGATCACTACGGGGTGAGGCGGAGCCACTCCCCCAGCAGCTAGTAGTAAACAACTTACGGGCTTATGGCTAACTCCAGGAGCCAAGGTAGAAAAACCTTTTTCCCATAGTCCAAAAGACTTTATTTTACCCCACTACCCCAATCAGAGCCAGGTATTGTGTGGTTAATGCTTTTAATCAGTTTTCAGTTAATTAAATCCAACTGAAAACTGATTAAATCCAAGTCTATGGAACACAAAACGTCACCAAAATCACTCTGTCCCTCTAAAATCTTTCAGAAAGTCATAAAAGTGTATCGAAGAGCATCGATTGCTGAATATCGTGATATATATCGTATCGTGAGCAGAATTCTGTGTATCGTATTGTGAGATTATTGCATCACTACATCCCTACTCCTAATGGTATACTTCACTTTAAAGACAATGGCAGTTTAAAAAGTCGACTCATTATTTTGCTTTATGTAAATGTTAAATGGCGGAAAAGTTTCTTTTTTCACATCTCATTTGTGACGTGTTCTTCTCATGAACTCGACATCCTTCATGGTTCCCTTTGCTCCACCAGAACCCCCGGACCGGGCCAGGCCTCTGACGGGATGACCCCTCTGGCGGGGGGCATGACCCCTCGGGGTACCCCTGGGTTGACCCCTGGCCGCACGCCTCTGAGGGACAAACTGAACATCAACACAGAGGACCAGCTGACAGACCCGGCATACGCCAAACATGTGGTAAAAAAACCAAAAAAAAACTTAAGCTTCTTCAAACATTGATTCCCTTATGAGTTTTGATATTATGTCATATTACAACCATAAACTTTGATCGATTTTTATTGGGAATTTCTGTGATTAAACCGACACAATGTTGGTCTTTCTCATATAATCAAGAAAAATAAAATAAAGTTTCTGTTTGCAACCTCACAAATAAACCTGCCACAATAAATTCTACTGGATGATAAATTGTCCAGTAATTATCACAATAAACAATAAAATTGATGTTTGTAGACTACTGTCATGTATTATTATGTAATTATATAAATATGAAATATGAATTTGCCCTCTCAAAAAGCCAATAAACTTATTTTGTAAAGAACACTTCACACTATACCTGAAAGACACTTTAAATAAATATCCAAAATAAAATGGAAATAAAACCACACTCAACTGAAACGGCAAATAAAATTAATCATGAAGTCTCTAAACAAAATTGCCAAGCTCATTTTAATTTATCATATAATTATGATAAATTACTAATTGATTAATTTCTTATTGAATCTGGCTTTTTTGCAAAATATGAATGACTTCTAGGGGTGTGAATACTTTAGTATGTGTGAGTGATTGATTTAATTTGAAGTTTATTTGTTGGAAAAACAACATGGACACTAAAGGTTGTATGTTTACTCGTTACAGCAGAAGGAAAGCCTGCAGCAGCTGAGACAAGGCCTGATGTCACTTCCTGTGCCCAAGAACGACTTTGAGATCGTTCTTCCTGAGAACGCAGAGAAAGAACTGGAAGAGACGGAGATGGAGAGCGGATTTGTGGAGGACTCTGCAGACATAGAGGCACTCAAGCAGGTACGCTGCAGAAACACACAAAGGATTTGATGAAATTCAGATTTTTGACTCAGTTTTATTAAAATATGCCAATTTGTTTAATCAGGCTCAGCGGGACGCAGAAAGAGACAAGGAGCTGAAACTTCGGCACACATCTGTTCAGAGGAACCTCCCCAGGCCGACTGAGGTTCGGTTTGATTAGTTATTTAAATAACTGATTAGAGAAGGTTTAGTTTTATCTTTGTAAGCTGGGTTGAATTATAAATGTGCACAAATCTTTGTCGATATTGTTCTAAGATCAAAAAACGCAATTAGTGTTTCCAATAAATAACGCCAGCTGCATGTTATTTGCAAAAAACAAAAACAAAACACAATCCATCATCCTCCTCCCACTTCCTGTCGTCTTGTCTTTTCTGTCAGTAGTAACCTCTGGTTGTGTTTCCATTGTAGTTTTTTGAAATGCATCTATTTTCAAAAAACCCATTCTAGCAGCAAAACTTTTTTATCGAAAACGTTTTTTTTTTTTTTTTTCGTTTTTTTTCTTCAAAATTGGCATATTTCCATTAAGCGAATTTATTTTCGTATTTTCATTTTGCGTCATTCTACAGTTAGTGGAAATTCAGCTACCGATGCCGGCATGTGAACGTAGATCTGTTTCCGGTGCAGGTTAACGAGTCAGTGCTCCGCCCCGCGTCCATGGAGCCGCTCACCGACCTCCAGGTGGCTGAAGAGCTCATCAAACAGGAAATGATCACCATGCTGCACCACGACTGCCTACACCACCCCTCATCTAATGCAGTCACTCAGCTGCAGCGCGGCAAAACCAAGGGGCCCACCTCTACGTCCAACAACGCCTCACACATCTCTTACCTGGAAACCCACCCCTACAAACCCATCAGCACGGAGGAGATGGAACAGGTCAGACACACCACTGTCTGCAGACGTTCAGTCCAACTCATTTAAAGCTCATTTAAACTGATGCTGCACATGTTGATGAACAGGCGAAGGCGATCCTGACTACAGAGATGGACGTGGTGAAGGCAGGAATGGGCCACGGAGACCTCAGCATGGAGGCCTACACCCAGGTGTGGGAGGAATGCTACGGACAGGTAAGAATCTGTTTATGGTAGCACTCAGCAAATGAAGTGTTGGTGGATTCATGCTCTAGATCAGAGGTCTTCAATGTAAGGGTCTTCAATTATTTTATTTTTTTGCCTTAAAATACACATTAACATGAATAACAAATAGTTAAATTGAGACATGCAAGGGTGTGATCACATGGTTTTGTTGTATTGGTAATTTAACGTTTTAACAGAATTAAAAGGTGGTTAAAATATATATTGCATTTAGGTGTAATACCGAATTACACCTAAGATGGTTTTTCCCAGCAGCGCAGTTAGCTGAATTTCAAGAATGTTTTAAACTTAAAATAAAAAAACAGCATTCGTTGTATTGAGTTCACAGTAATATGATGTGCTTTTGTAAAAAAAAAAAAAAAAAAAAAAAGTGTATATACAGATATAGTTGAGGGTCTCAGGTTAAAAACGTTGAAGACTACTGCTCTAGATTCTTCACCCTGACTCAGTTTTATTGTTCTAAAGTTTTAGATCAGTAAAACATGTTCATCCTGCTGCACAGGTGCTATATCTGGCTGGTCAGAACCGGTACACCCGAGCTAACCTGGCATCAAAGAAAGATCGAATCGAAAGTCTGGAGAAGAAACTAGAGGTAAAGTGGAGAACAGTTTGAGGAGTCTTGTTGGTTTTCTTTTATTCTATGCTACTGTGTATGTGAGTTTTGATCCAAACACTGACATCCCAGTACTTGTGAACACTCCAGGTGAACCGAGGCCACATGACAGCAGAGGCTCGAAGAGCGGCTAAACTGGAGAAGAAGCTGAAAATTCTGCTGGGAGGTTTCCAGTCCAGAGCACTGGGGCTCCTTAAGCAGCATAATGAACTCTGGGAGCAGGTACTGACAGGATTTTACACCAGCAGATTGTTGGTCTTAGGGGACTCCGTATGTAGTTTGCAGGAATGTAATGTCTGTGTTGTCCACTAGGTGGAGCAAGCAGCCACTGAGCTACAGACTTTCAATCAGCTGAAGCAACAAGAGGATCTGGCCATTCCTAGGAGACAAGCGGTAATACATTAAACACTTTCAGTGATTTTGGTTTTTCAACCAACTGATTGGTTGATTTCAAGGGTTACACTTTCTCCAAAAGTGTAACCCTCACTTTTGGAGAAAGTGAGGGTTACAACTACATGGTAATAATTACTAAGATGGAACCTGCTGTGTTTCTCAGGCTCTGCGGGAGGATGTGGACAGGCAGATGGAGAGAGAGAAAGAACTTCAGCAGAGATATGGAGAGCTGCTGATGGAGAGGGAGTCTCTGCTCAGCGGCACGCAGAAGTTCTGAGCAACACATTCAATCTGAAACCAATCACAGGGACTCTGATGTAGAACATAACCTTCCACATTGTTGTATTGAACAGTTTTTTTTTTGCTTTTTCCTGATCATCACTTCAAACCTCTGAGCCTCTATGTTGCTGTGATGCCCCAAGCTGCGTTTTGAGCATGTTCAATAGTCTTCTCTGTACCAGTGACCAATAAAGTTTTTCATCAATCAAACTCATAAGTCCTTGTATGCATGTTTAAGTCTTTATTACTAAGAGTGAACCAAACAAGAAAATGGATATAAACTCTGCTTCAGCAGGTGAGGAAAGTCATCCCACTCCTCCTGTATGCACTCTGAAAAAGAGAGGTGGGTTACTCTAGGGTCAGAGTTCACACAACCTGAATGGATAAAAAAATTGTTTTTTTTTTTATTTCTTGGTGTATTTCCAACAAAAAATTTAGTTTTTATAATTCCAATTTGCCCAATTTTAAGATCAATAGAAACTCAGCTGGTGGCTGATGTTCAGACCGCTGATCTGATCTTGTTACACGAGAAATCATGAGATCAGTTTCTCATGTAAACATCAGCTGATCAACCAAAATTAAGGAAATCTGGAAGAATTTATCAGTGAACCCCTGCCACAAATGTAAAGTATAATTCAGTTTAGGTGTGTGGAGGGTTTAAATGTCCACTATCATCACCAAAATGAACTGTGTACATAGATTTTCATGACTGAATCCAAAGAAACTATCAAAAACAACAATCCAGTCCAACTTTTTAAAAGGTTCAATCTTAAGTTACACATCACTAGCTGTGCTTCTAAATGTGCATACACCTTTGCCAATATTCTGCTAAAGTCAAAACCCCTCCACAATTTCCAATTGAGGTGTTTTCATTATCAAATCATGCGATAAGTCTCACACCATCATCGTCCAACTGCTTCCTGTCTTCTTCCTGGTTTGGGCCAGTTGTAGCATCTGGTTGTTTATCACATGACTCATGTGATGCAAAAAAAGTGTTTCCATTGCAGTTTTGCAAAATACAATAATTGCGATACAGCTGAAAAACTGCCTCGTTCTAGCGCTAAAATTACAATGAACTATGTGAGCTTTTTCAAAATTGCCATGTTTCCATTAAGCAAATTCATTTTCGAAATTTGAATTTGTACAATGAAAACGCATGTAGAGTGTTTTTTGCTGTGTACCCACTGTGTGTCTGTAGTTGTATCGTCTGATGGCCTCTCTGATGTGACACGGCTGGATGGCTCCACTAGGGGGCTCCACTGTGGCCGGAGAGCTCTGAAACACGCAGCACTCGTTTGAGCAGACTAGAAAATAAAAAGATGGCCAACATGAAGAGCACAGAACACAAGCCTCCAGCCTGACACCTTTTTCCGTTTCCTCTGTCTGGCTCGGCTGTCCATGCTGCCATTTCCCAGTAGGAGGGGCTTCGAGGAGTGGGAGGAGCCTGGAGTGGATGGGGGCGTAGCTTCAGGTGAATCTGGATCTTTCTTCACCTGCAGCCACACATTTTATCGAGTGAAATAAACAAGAAAGAGTCTTCCTGAGTGAACCGAGTGGATGCGGCGTTATGCTGTGTGTACCTCGGTGTGTGTGTTGTAGTGGATGTAGCTGGCTGAGATCACATGGCTGACAGGATTGGTCTTCACCGTCATCTCCTGCTTCACTAGCAGAGACAAATCTACAATCTGGGGAGGAAAACAGGAACATGTTGCAACCAAATTCCTGCTGTAGTTTTCATCCAGCTCATCTAGACTTTAACTTGTAGGTATTTACCTGTGCCACCGTCTCATAGGCCAGGTATGAGAGGATCTCTGTGGCAATGCTGTTGGGTTTCAGCTCCAGGCTGCTGCAGTCCAGCCAGTCCCGAAACTTTGACGCTTTCTTGGCTGTTGTAGCAATAAGATGATAAAAAATGGACGGTTGAACCACATAATGCAATGATGTTCAACAGTAACATGTTCTGCATGAAAGAAATCCATTGTTAGATAGCACTGCTAATCTTCCTCTTTTAATCTGAGCCTTTATTATTTATTTGAGCTTTGAAATTCTAAGCAGCTGATAATTGGTGGGAAAACAATACATTATTGTCATGGTTACGCATCCTAACTGAAATTAAAATTATTTTACTGCTATAAATTCAATATTTAAGAGAGACAGAAACGGTGGAGCAGAAAAATATTTCTGCCATGCCTCCCAAACATAAAAGTGTGAAAAAATGTTTTTCTTCACATAAATTTACTCAAAATCAAGGTTGGAGTCAAAGATGTTGGATTAGGATTTAATGTATGAATGTAAAACTTATGCCACTGCAATAAGACATTAGCTTTTTGAAGGCTCTTTACCAGGGTGCTAATAAATGTGGAGGGTATTTTATAAATATCCAGATATTTCTTTTTTTTTTCATCATTAATGAATGAGATGTTTTCACAATTTAGTTTTTGTTTTGTGTGTTTTGGTTTTATTTATTATCAGAAGG